GGAAAGATATACGAGATTATGATTAAATACAATTAAGGAAAACATATACTGCGGAAGTTGCGGGGAGAGAAAGAAAAATACATGAAAAACAAGGATGACAGAGACAAATTCCAGGATGCATGATAAGAGAGAAAAACAGGATTAAAAGTAAAAGGATGTAAGCAGGAAGAATAAAACGTCTAGAACTGTATATAAGAAATAGATAGTAAGCAATAAGTAATAAAAAATAAAAAAAGAAGAAAATAAGGATAAGTAATTTAAAAAGATTTAAAAAGTTGTAAATAAATAAAAGTAAAAAATATTTTGTATTGCGACAGGACGTGTATGTTAGATTTTTATCTAGTCGAATAATTATAAGAGACGACACATGCGTGTAAAATAAATTGTAACCGAATTCTTGTAAACCGAAGTATAAATTATTTTGTTGTTGTCTTAATTGTATTGTTAATTATTTTACTCGTTCAACATCGTTATTGACATTCATTTTATTGTAGTAATAAAATGCATTCACTAATTTATCTTTCGTATTAAAAAATCTGTATTGTAATCTCTTAATTCATTAAAGTTCTTTATTAAATGATTATATATTGTAAAAGTCTAATTACTCCGCTAATAATCTTTGTTCTACTTTTTTAATACATTGCACGCAATCTGTCGTTGATTTCGCGAACTTCTTCACGCATTTATTAATAGAATGTAAATCATGAATAAAAATATAAAATAAAAATAAAAAGCTTTTTAGTTGCATAAAATCGGTTCTTGGCCGTGATAAAGTTTAAAATAAAGATCATAAAAAATCTGTATTTACAACATAAATGCCAATGCGTATTAAAATAATTTTGATATAAACAAAAAAAATGAGAAAATTTATAAAAAGCAAAATTTAAGAAATAAATAAAAGTCTTTAAGAGCCAAAGTTAGAGGTTGCAATTATAATTTATATATAATAAATTATAATTGCAACAACATTCAGCTTTGACTCTCAAAAGGCTTTTTATTTTTATTTAATTTACTTCATTAGAGTCTATATAATTTTTATTGTAAAATTTTATTTTATTAATTATTTAAATTAATTACAAAAAATTACTATTGATAAGCGTGATATTTGATATTGTTTATTGGAACGAACAAAGAATTGGATACAACATGAATAAGACCGTTTTGCAAAATGCTTATACAAAAATGCTACAGCGATAAAATGGTATATGACAAAAGTATCAGAGCATGACATTATCTAAATGTATACCTTATACAAAAACTTATAATATAAAAACGAATACAAAATATTACAAAGGAACTCGTGAACAAATTACAAAACCTCGAGAACTCTAATTATAATCTTAAAATTAAAATCAACAATGCACGATATATATTCACATAATTCTGGCGCCAAATGGTGATATTATTAAAACGACGAAAAAATAATGAAAAACAAACAAGTCACAAGAAAATTTGTTGAAGCAAACTCTCGTAATGTGCATATTGTAATTTTAAATAAAGCAACCAACGCACAGCGCTAATAAAAGCTGGCGAGACGTCGCATCGCGCGTTCCGCTTATCGAGGAGCCCATTTCCTCACAAATATCAACCGACGACGAGCGATGTAGGAAGGGTGTTTTCTCGGTTTCGCCGGCTCGAGTAAGAGAAATATGAATAATAGCCGGTACTCACTTGCTAGATTTACGGCAGCTATCGGCGAGGCCTTGATACGTGTTGGTCGACGTCATCTTGGAGGCGAGATCGAGCTCCTGCACGAAGGACTGACAACGAAGATTCGTTGAGAATTTGCGGCTACTACCGACCGAACTCTGCCGGATGAGCCAGGCCAGGACTCTCCCTTCCCACCAGCCGTTCGGAAATCAAATGCTGTCGCGACGCGCGATTGGACGCCCGCGCTGCGATCGCGAGTGACGTCATACCGCTAGTCAGTGCAGCAGCTAAATCACCGAATATCTAGGTATCAATCATACAATTTTTTTCTTAAGATGAAAAGCGAAAAGTGAAAATTTTAACCAGTTAAGTTGAAGTTAATGGAGAAATTTTTCACTTTTCATTTTTCATTTTTTGAGAAAAAAATTCCTAGGAAAAAAGTTTCATGATTGATATCCTGGATAAAGATAATAAGATTTGTTATTTGCGTTGTTTGAAATTTCAAAAAGTCTTGCACTTAAAACAAAATAATATATAGTATATTCGAAGTTGAAAGGAGGAAAAGCTAAAATGTTGAGTACAAAAAGTGCAAATAGATTGCTATTTATTATGAGCTCTGTTATATAAAACTAGACAAAACGATAATATTTTAAATATTATTAATTAATATATATAATAATTTTTCTTGTAATAATACAGAGGAAACTTGCACAAGGAAAGATTCAGGGCTCCTATTCTTGAAAAGTATCGCATACGAAAAACTAGGGACATGCTATAATATGTGTAACGCATACTATAGTTTTAGAGCATATAGACATGAGTGAACATTGTGGTTTAAGGGATCGATTTTGTATCTTGAAATGAGGTGAAAATTACAAAAGTGGACAAATTTACTAGAGTACTAATAATTTCATTCAACATCTAGTAAATTTGTTCACTTTTGTATTTCTCACCTTGTTTCAAGATACAGAATCGATCTTCAGAATTGTGGATTACATGAATTTTCCCGAAAAACTAGACTGGAAAATGTTGGTACTAACAAAAACCTCTAGATAACACGATTTTAATTTGTACAAATTAAGCTGCATTCAGGAGATACCATTCGCGCTATGGACGCAAACGCTACAATGCTGTTTTTGAAGCCAATAGCGCGATAGCATTGGAGCATTAGCAAAGCTCCATGAACGATCCTAACATAGTGTTGGTAGCGTTTAACTAGAGAGATATATTCATCGAGGTTAAGTTAATGTAGGAGATTCTGTTTTCAATCATCAATCAAACTTTTCCCTATAATTAAAATTTTTGTAAAGTATTTGTAACGTAAATTTTTTTATTTTCTCGTAGTGAATAACAGAACGCAATCTCAATTGCAATCTCTATGATAGCTTGCCGCTAAGTCGAAGTGAACAATGTAGAAACTAGATCAAAAAATTAATAGTTACACTAAATAAATTAATCAGATAAAAGAAAGAATTCTTGAGTATCCGTTATCGATTTCACAAGAAGAAGCATATCTACATCTAATAAGGATCTTAAGCATCTGTAGCAGAATATCCTACCGCGCAGGATATCTATACCGCATTAGTAACTTTTTTCTGTACACGGGAATTAAAAATTGCCAGTAACAAGATATCTCTGTGACTTTCACATTTAATAAAATCAAATACACAAGTTGCACTTCGCAGAAACTTTGAAAAGTTAAAGATGATACACAAGCAAGATTTACGTTCACTCCAGCCTAGTGGCAAGCTATCAGCAAAGATTAAAATTGAGATTGCATTCATTATGATAAAATTTGAAATTCACACATTACGTACATATGTTTACTTTACAAAATTCTAAAGAGAAAAATTTGGTCACTCGAGAATAGAATCCCTTTTAACATTAATCTAACTTTGACGAATGTTAAACGGTACCAATGCTACGCTAGAGTCGTTCACGGATTTGAAAACGCTATCAATACAATATCAATACACTATCTCGGAAGAAATAGCGTTGATAGCGCGCAGTTGTGACGTAACACGCTACCATTAGAGACGTCATGATCGTGTTTCCAGCGCTAAATAGCGCGAATAGCGTCTCTCCGAACGCACCTTTAGGCTGTGGTCAAAGTCTCGTTACAAATGCTTTGAAGCATTTAATGGATTAATTAGAAGAAAGAATTTTACAAACTGACCAATTAAAAAACACTTCAAAGCACAACATCATGTTGACCGTATCCTTAGTAATACTGGCCTAGTTTCCACCGAGGATTTAAATCGGATCAGAATGTAAGAACCAATCAACTATCAAGTATTCCCTTATTACAATCAAACGAGGAGAATGCTTGATTGTAATTGATTGGTTTTAATTAGAATCCTATATATAAGAGGAGCGACATTCATCCCCCACTACTACTTTCAGCACATGTTCAGCACCGCCATATTTAGCTCGCTCCAGTTGACCAGTTGACCAGTTCCCATGAATCTATTTAACTTCATTGTTAGAAACGTCATAAACGTCAAGATGAGGTAAATATTAATGTTCTTATGTTTTCTTATTAAATAATGCAATTAAAAATGTTACAAAAAGATAAACGGCATATTGTATACAATTAGTTTCTATTTTGCCAAGAAATATTTTGCAAATACACAAAGATACCTAACATATCTATTTTAGGTATGTGTATGTACCAGTTCAATCTACAATGGGCAATAGCAGTAGTGGATTAAGAAATAGGCGTAGAAATCGACCAATTATAGTTGAATGTGAGAAAAATAATCGACTATGATTAGTCGATTTCTATGCTTACTCTTTAATCAACTACTATTACTGTCCATTGTAGACCATGCATAACAGAAGTTGATTAAGGAGTAAGCGTAGAAATCGACCAATCATAGTTGATTATTTTTCTCACATTCAACTATGGATTGGTCAATTTCTACGTCTGCTCTTTAATCCACTATTGTTACTGCCCATTGTAGACTATGCATAAGTAAAACCGGCCTTATAAATGCTAATATGGCTTTCTGATTGGTTCATGCATTAACTTAAGCTCATCTCGAATCTTGGGCAACGTCTATGGATTCCGCTTTACATGTGATGGTATGTGTACAAGAAATAGTAAAATCAGAATTTATCTTTCAATTTAGAATTATTCTTTTTCCTTTTAATGTGAAGGGAGAAAGATAAATTTTAAATTAGTTCAGCTAAAAAAACCTATAATATTTTTTTCAGATCACGCATCAAAAAGTGACTAATGTATTAATGTAGTATACTTGTATTGATATTTAAAATGTTGTTTACATACAAGTATCATGCATGGCTAAATAAATGTACAACAATCATTAATAAAAAAAAACTAGAAAATAAGCGAAAAAAAATATTTGCAATATTAGCAATTCATGAATTACAAAAAGAAATGGAAAAAGATTATCATGAAAAACGCTTTTGTGTTGAACCAATATTTAAAAAACGCCATACTCATGGATTTTATCATTCAATTTTTCCAGTCATGTCATTAAATGAAAGTCAATTCAGAAACTATTTTTGCATGACGGCAACACAATTTGAAGAATTATTACTTTTAATTACTCCTCAAATCACCAAACAAACAATGATTCAAGAGCCAATTTCTGCCGAAGAATGGTTATCAATGACAATAAGGTTAATCTAAAAAATTATTTAATTACATTTGTTTTTTTAAATATATTAATAAATTAATTATAATTTTTATTGTACAGATTTTTGGCATCTGGTGATTCTATGACTTCTATGTCTTATCAATATCCCAATGGCTTGACAACTGTGAGTGATATTATTGAAGAAACATGTAATGCTATATGGAATAATCTTCAACAGCAAGTACTTCCATCTTCTTTAGCAAAAGAAGATTGGTTAAACATTGCACATGATTTTGAAGAATTATGGAATTTTAAACATTGTGTCGGAGCAATTGATGGAAAACATATTTTAATACAGGTATAATATTATGTATTGCATTGTTTATATATATTATGTAATGCATTGTAAATATTATAAATATAAAAATTAAATAGTTATTTATTTTTTCAGTGTCCTAATAATTCGAGTTCATCATATTTCAATTACAAAAATAATCACAGTGTTGTTTTGCTTGGAATATGTAATGCAAAGTATATCTTTACATTTGTGGACATTGGAGCTTATGGTCAACGTAGTGATGGTAGCATCTTTAAAGGTTCCTTGATTGGACAATCTTTTCATAATAAACAAATGAATTTACCAGAACCAGAACCTATTACATCGGATGGACAACCTTTACCCTACATACTTGTGGGAGATGAAGCATTTCAATTGTCAGATTATTTACTTCGACCTTATCCAGGAAAAGAAAATCTAACTCAAGATCGAATGATTTTTAATTATCGTCTTAGCCGTGCTAGAAGGACAATTGAAAATGCTTTTGGCATTTTAGTGAGTAGATGGAAAATTTTGAGGCGACCAATTATTTGTAATGTTAAACAAATAATGAAAATAGTTCAAGCAATAATATGTCTCCATAATTGGCTTCGCTTGCAAGATGTTGAGGAGAATCAATACATATCTCCATCAATGATTGATCAAGATGATCCAAATGGTTTAATTCTTGGTTCTTGGAGAAAATACACTGAAAATAGTGCACTTCGTGACATAACTAAATGCGGTACTAATACCAGTAGTCGCCAAGCTAGACAAATTCGAGAAGAATTTTGTCAATATTTTAACAATGAGGGAGCTATATCGTGGCAATTTGATCACTGTTAATATTATAGATTTTAATTTATAAATTTTATGTATTTAATTATATTTAATTAATGTATTTAATGATATCAATAAAATAGTAATAAAAAAGAACATATAACATAAAGATAAAATAATATATAATACAATAAGTAAAAATTATGCATGTTCTGCCAAAGCATCGTATATTATATCTAAAAACTTTTTCATTATTTTTCGCCGTTTGCGTAATCCCAATTCTCGCAGCTGGCATCCTAACATTGACAAAAAAGCATCAATTTCATCTGGAACTGGAATAGGCGGAAGATTAACAGGTATATCGTTATTGTCGCACAATGCATTTGCAATTTTGTCTATTGCACTGGCAGACTTCTCAAAATTACTCTTCTTTCTTTTATTGCGGGGTCCACTATCTAAAAAGAGTCAATATAAATTATAAAAAATAAATCACATTACATTTTATGTTCAATCAATACATACTTGATTCGTTTTCAACATCTTCAAAATCATCTATCTCAATATTACTATTGGTGCTGTAAATGTTAAAATTATCAATTATTAATTATCAATTATTAATGTCAAGGGTTAAAAGCACAACAGCAAATTGATCTATACTAAATGTTTTAGTTTATGTATAAATATAATAGATGTTTCGATCAATACATTCAGATCATTTCCAAATTTAATACATGATACATAAAAAATAAAAAAAGAATGTTTCTGAGATCTATGTTTAGATATAATATCCTACTATAAAACCTGTATAATCAAAACTTATGTGATCAAAAATTAAGTATTTTAATACATAGATCTCAAAACCGTTCTTTTTTTTAGTATTTTAGTATTTTAGTATTTTATATTATATATTAATATTGAAAATAACTTGAATGTTTGATTAAAACGTTTGTTATATTTATGTATAAACTAAAACATTAGCATAGATCAACTTGCTGTTGTGCTCTTAACTCTTGACATTTTAATAATTGTTTTTATACAATTGAGCGATAATTACATAGATTAATATTAAAATTATCATTACAAATTTTATCAAATATGCTATTTTTGATATTTATATAAAATATATAATTCTTACGTTTTCAACAAGCAAGAATCTCGTAAAAATTCCATTGAATCATAATGAAGCCATTTCTTTCCATTATTTTTTCGAGTAGATCCACTGGCTTCTGATCTAATTATTCGGCGGTATGTGTCATGTAAGCTTTTAAATTTTGTTTTGGCTTCATTGGCTGTAATTTTCCCATTTAAAGCATTTGCTACTTCTTGCCATAAATTTTTTGTAATTTTTAAGTTGCGTAGTGATAATGGAAGTTTATAATTCCAAAGAGGTTCTCGTAACTGAACTTCTAAAATGAGAATTTCTTCATCATCATGACTAAGTTTTGTTTTTAAACCTTCATCTGAATTTCTTCGTTTCTCACAAGAATTTTGTTCAGATAAGTGTATCGGTGTAACAAAATCTAAATACAAAACTTAAATATATTAGAAACAATAAAAAAGGTTTTCACATTATTTTGGTACAATTATTATCAAATTTATCACCTGTATTCTTCTTGTGCGATTGCACTGTTATTATTTGTTTTTTATCTATGCTTGACACTCTGCTTTTTATTATGGTCATTCCATCATCTGTAAAATATTAAATAATATATATTAAATTAAATAATAAATAAAAATATATATTAAATAATAAATATAATAAAACTAGCTTTTAATGTATAACAGTAATAGGATCTAATTTACCTAATAAAGGATAAAAATATAATGTATCAGGTTCAGTTATGTATTGTGTATAGCCTTTTAAACAAGCATGCTTCCCAATATCTGCTTGCTCGCAGATCATTTCACATAACCCGCATGTTTGTACAAGATTAAGGGATTCATTCTGAAAAATATATTAAATTTAATACTACAAATATTTGTAAAAAACTTTTAATTTGTTAGTATTGTTATTATTACCTTTAATTTTCATATTTTTTAACTAATTATAATCTTTCAGTCCTTGTAAAATTGAAAGGTTACAATATATATATATTTAAGATTATTTGGTTTGTATGATATTATTGAAGATCGTAAAATATAGAAGATATAAAAATTAATATTTTACGTACGTCAGAATCCATTTTTTATTTCGAATCGGGATAATTAACAAAGATTCAGCGACGACGCTAACTGTTAGACAAATTCAACTTCTTTAAAAGTACAATTTCATACAGCTAGTTTCACTGGCGAAGACTTCCCATTACATCGTAAACAAAGCCAGCGTTCAACGCTCTTCTTTAAAGCTCTCTTAGGGTAAAATCACACGATGCGGAAAATGACTATCAACGTTATTCTGCGTTATTTCGAATAGCGCTGATTAGTTGCTTCTATGATATGATGCATTCTCTATCCGCACCATGTGATTTCATTCTTACTTAAAGACCCTAAAGCGGAGAGCACAGATTTTCACATAACGCATAAAACATGAGGCATAAAAAAAATCAATCGATCAAATTCTTTTATTTTACGAAAAGGAAGGAAATAAAGCATTTTGTTTGGTTCATTTTCTTATGTCTTATGTGTTATGCATTATGCAAGAGTTTATGCTCCTTATAGTATAAGGCCAGAATTAGACTATGCATTGAAGATTGAGATTAAAGATTAAAATTTCACCAATGAAGACAAAGAAATTTTGACTCCTTTTGTTCTGATTGATCAAACATCAATCTTTTAATCTTTAATCTCATTCTTCAATGCGTAGTCTGATTCCGACCTAACAGAAATATAATACAATGTGATCGATATATTTCTCTGATTGGCTGGAGTAATTCGTGGTAGCTGCCATATTGAATTTATTATCGATATACTCAATATCGACTCCTGCTATGGAATGAGGTTAGTAAATTCATCCTTCAATGTTTTGTGAATATTTATCTATTATTTCATCCTTTGCATTGAATGTTACATATCTTACGTACAAAATTTACATCTATCGTCACCATGCAATGAATTGCATCACATGTAGCTGTAGTAATAACAATGTTATTACTATAAGGCCGAAATCAGACTACGTATTGAAGAATGAAATTGAAGATTGAAAGATTGAAGTTTGATCACCAATCAGAACAAAAAGGAGCCAAACCAAAATTTGTTCTCATTGGTGAAATTTTAATCTTTAATCTTCAATCTCAATCTTCAATTCATAGTTTGATTCCGGACTAACACTCCCCTCTTTAAGGTCGCAGCACAAACTTTTGCATAACGCATAAAACCGATTCTACAATAGTTGCAAGCTTGATCGCAAAAAGGTTTTCACATTATTTTGATACAATTATTATCAAATTTATCACCTGTATTCTTCTTGTGCACTATTATTATTTGTTTTTTATCTATGCTTGACACTTTTTATCTATGCTTGACACTCTGCTTTTTATTATGATCATTCCATCATCTGCAAAATATTAAATAATATGTATTAAATTAAATAATAAATAAAAATATATATTAAATAATAAATATAATAAAACTAGCTTTTAATATATAACAGTAATAGGATCTGATATCTAATAAAGGATAAAAATATAATGTATCAGGTTCAGTTATGCCAATATGAAGCGTTGATTTCAAAATGCAGTTTCAAATTGGCTGTCGCAACAAATTTGTGATCAGCTTGTAACTAATGTAGAACCGACTTAAGCCCATTCCACATGAACTTAGCTGCATAAACATATGCATAAAGAAAATCATCCAATCGTATTTTACGTAACCTAAGTGAATCAACTAATCTTTCCTCCGGCGGAAAGTATAAACTCTTACATAATGCATAACACGTAAGAAAATAAACCAATCAAAATCCTTCGTTTCCTTCCTTTCCATAAAATATAGAACTCTAATGGCCATTCTACAAGCCATTAATCATAAATCAGCAGTTAGAAGTTGGAAATTGACGATTGTGATTGATCACAACTTTTAACTTCTGATTTATGATTAACGTGTAATTGATTAAATTTCTTATGGCCACAGCATAGATTTTTGCATAACGCATAACGCATAGTGCATAAGCGAATTAGAATCTTTCTTTTTCTTCCATTCCATAGAAAGGAAGAATTTCGATTGATTGATTTCCTTATGCGTTATGCAAGTCTGTGCTGCGGTCATTATGGCCTTTTACAATAAGTCATTAGTCATAAATTAAAAGTCAAAAGCAAAAAAAAATTGACTGTGATTAGTCAATTTTTAACTTCCGACTTCTGATTTATGATTAATAGCTTATTGTAGAAGACTTATTATGCTTTATGTGTTATGCAAATGTCTGTGTTCTCCTCTTCCCATGAAAAAAAAGAATTTCGATTTGTTGATTCCTTTATGCACTATGTATTATACAAGAGTCTGTGCTGCAACCATTAACACCACTTATACATTGTCAAATTTTAAGAATTGGAGTTTTAATACGCGAAACTGCACAATAGTTTACAACAGAATGGTGTAAATTGATAAATAAGATACTTTATGTTGAGATACAGCAATAAAATTATTTTAATTTTATGTATAATAAAATCAAAAAAATTTCATTAAGATATAGGAAAAAGTAACATGTAAATAATGCTTTTAATATATTAAATAAATTATAAATTTTTCAAACAGTTGAGCTGCACTTTTTTTCATTATTTTAAATGTTCTTATGTTTTCTTCTTGGGGTCGATTCTGTAATTTGAGTGAGATCGCTCACTTTTCGCACTTTCATCTCACGTGAGTTTGTCTCGTGATTCTGTAACGAAGTTAGCAAACGAGAATGGATTAAAATGGATTGAATTTTTTTCTATCCGTGCTTATTTTAAATAGCGAATACTTTTTTTGTAGATTTAATTGGATTCAATTGGATTCAATTATTGGGTGTCCGGAAAGTTCGTGCCGATGTTGAAGGAAAATTGAAACACAGAAAATTTTGATTTAATATATGTATACTAAAATTTAAATTTTAGTCGGCACGAATTTTCTAGACAATCCAATAGGTGCAATTGGAT